CGCCAATGAGGACCAAGGCCGGCGATAATGACTGTTACAAAAGCTTCTTCCGAAATTGATCCTCCGCATCGAAGGAGTCTGTCACGCAGTCCACGACAACGGCTAATATAAGCCATTCCCTTTTCGCCGGGTTTCATTTCCACTGTTGTCAATTGTGCCATGAGTCGACTTTGGTTAACGCTGTCTGTTGCTTGATACAGACTCTTCAGATGGTCGTACGCCAGCTCGGCAGAGTTGCCATATCCTCGATAAGACCGGATGTTCTGTTGCTCGTTTGGCGTCAAGTTTCGAAGAAGTATCGTATACGCCATCAGCGACTGATACGTATATTGCTGCTTGTCGTTCTTGTCCCGTGTGCCGGATATGGCAGGGACCCGTCGAAGAATCCGAGGATTTGCGCGCCCTCCATCATCAGCTCAAATTCGAATGACCAGGTATAAAAATCTTTCCCGTCGAAGAGTGTTGATGTTTGCAATTTTAGGACGTGTGCGAATTGCGATTGCACCTGAAGCACGTCCAGTGTCTTCTCTTGTCCAGGTGAAGACTGCGGTTGCGGCGCGAAACTGACGGAGGCGCGTTGAGGCTCATACGGGGCAAAGGTAGGTTGTTATTGATTTCCACGCGCATAGGATGAACCGTCGAGGCTCATCGGAGTTGTTCTGTTGTTGTTGTCGCTGTTGTTTGATTGCGCAGGAGCTTCTTGCTGGTGTTGCTCGTAGAAGGACATGAAGGAGAAAAACTTCTCCATCATGTTTGGGTCGAAGCCTGCTTGTTGGTTCCCGGGAGTTTCCGTTGACTCTGCAGCTGGTCTTGTGCCTTCTTCTGTCTGTAGGCCAGAGACTGGAGGTGGAGTAGGGGTGGTGCCGAGAGATCCGTTGGAGGAGCTCCTTTCCTTTTGTGTAGCCATGACTTGTGTTAAAAGAAGTAAAAAAAAAAAAAAAAATCTTGTCCTGCGTGCTCTCATACCATGTTGGGCTGATAAAAGCCCTTAGGATCTTTCAGGACTAGGATCAGGTGTTGACGTGGAGATGTAATTGCGGAAGCGTTAATAAAAAGGTTGCCTTGAACCACCTTGTACTGGTGTGTGAGAACAAGATAAGTCGAATAATAGCAAAGAGATACAAGTCTTTTATATGATTACAAGGAATACAAAAAGTTCTACTTTAACTGTTTTTGCTGTTGCGGTTCGATACAGTGCCGACTCGGGTAACTGCTCAGTAAAGAGTCAGTTATGTGTCCTTGTTGTCGCATTGTACGTTTTGTCAAGTCAAAGGTCGGAGACCTTTGATCTTCGCGTAACCTCCGACGGTTGCCTTGGTTGACTCGAGTGTTTCTTCGCTGTAGTTAGTTCCGTTTCGTGTTGAAGCTTCGATACGACAGAAGCGTTTTAAATCACTTGTTTCCAACACAATCCTCGCTCGCTCACTCAATTGCACTCGTAACACTTGGTATCAGAGCCTACGATCTCCTCTCTGACAGCACCCACACCTTCGCTTCCCCACTATCTCTAATTTGGGGAGGGGGGGGGGGGAGGGGGGGTAGACGTCTCTCAGTGTCAGAATATATTTCTGTATAACTGCATGTAGTTCTAGCTGTAGTGTAGTTATATTGCTGTCCTGCTTGTGGTGCACCCCCTCCTTACTTGACTCTTGTATAACTTGGGCCTTTGGCCCTTTAGTGAAACCAATTCCTTTCTCGACTTCCCTTGGCACAACCTTCTCGACACCACCTTGGCCTAGGCTACTAACCCTAGGCCCTAACTTAAACCCACCTCCTACTCATGCTACTATTTTGATATGGTATTCAGAGCAGGCTCGTTCCTAGAGCCTTCATCTTTGGGCCCACCATTAGCTTCCGCTATGGCACAGTCCGTCATGCTGCCCGTCGCGCGCCCATGGCGAGTGTCAGTTTCTGCCCGTCGCGCGCCCCGGGCGCGCATCGGTTTCTGCCCGATGCGCGCCCTGGCTGCGCGTCGGTTTCTGCCCGATGCGCGCCCCGGCTGCGCGTCGGTTCCTGCCCGTCGCACGCTCCGGGCGTGCGTCGGTTTTCTGCCCGTTGCATGCCTCGGGCGTGCGTCGGTTTCTGCCCGTCGCACGCCCCGGACGTGCGTCGGTTTCTGCCCGTCGCACGCCCCGGGCGTGTGGCGGTTTCTGCCCGTCGCACGCCCCGAGCGTGCGTCGGCTTTCTGTCCGTCGCACGCCCTGGGCGTGTGGCGGTTTCTGCCCGTCGCTCGCCCCCAGCGTGCGACGGTTTTCTGCCCATCACGCGGGGGCCCCGCTGCCCTGCTTCCTGTCGTCCCCGCCGCCCACTTCCTTCTCCCACTCCTACTTCGCGTGCAGCAGTTTGGGTGGGGGGAAGGGGGGGGGGGGAGGGTGTTGGGGGGACTCAAGAGTGGTGTTGGGGGGTGGCAGGAATGGATCAACAGCACCAGCCCCCCCCCGCCCCCCCCCCCCCCCCTCTTCTCCTCCATCCCCCCTGCTGCGGGTGCAGCAGTGGGGGAGAGGGAGTGTGAGGGGGTGGCGGATGTGTTTCAGCAGCAGCAGCTGCCGCCACGCCTCCTCCTCTCTGACGGCTGCACCTGCTGCTGTGGGGGGAGTGTGAAGTGGTGGGGAAGTTCAGGGGGTGTGGATGGTGTGTGACTCAATTCTAGCAACTGTTGCCTCGCTGCCTCCTCTCACTCCTCTCTGTTGTCTCCCGCTGCGCAGGGTGTACCCCTTCAGGGGGTGTTATGCACATGGCTATTCCTGCATGCAGTTAGGGTGTGTGTCAGAATATATTTCTGTATAACTGCATGTAGTTCTAGCTGTAGTGTAGTTATATTACTGTCCTGCTTGTGGTGCAACCCCTCCTTACTTGTCTCTTTTATAACTTGGGCCTTTGGCCCTTTAGTGAAACCACTTCCTTTCTCGACTTGGCACAACCTTCTCGACACCACCTTGGCATAGGCTACTAAGCCTAGGCCCTAACTTAAACCCACCTCCTACTCATGCTACTATTTTGATACCGCACATTTGAAGTAGTTACCGACGCAAGCGACATCGCCATTGGAGCCGTACTACTACAGGATTTCGGCAACGGTTTACAGCCCATCGCATACGAGTCACGAAAACTGCATCCGCCCGAGAAAATTTACCCGATACACGATCGCGAAATGCTCGTGATCGTGCATGCGTTCAAAGTGTGGCGCTGTTACTTGACCGGCGCAGACATGACAGTACGGACAGACCATAAATCACTACAGTACCTCCGTGCACAGCCCCACCTCAACCCACGACAGATTCGCTGGCTCGACTTCCTTGAGTCCAATTATCACTACACGGTCATCTACAAAAAGGGGGCATCGAACATCGCCAACGCACTAACCCGTCCCACGGCCCAAATCCACGCCATACTACTCGCCCAGACCAACCCACTACTGACAGGACTATTTACCCACGGCTATCAGACTGACCCATTCTTCACAGGAGGAAATTCGTAGCAGCAAAGGGAGTTTATTACGTAAAAGCCGGCACCGACCGAATCTGGGTACCGAGCTACACATTACTACAGGAATTACTACTACAAGAGGCACACGACGGAGTTACCTCAGGCCATTTCGGAGTAGAAAAAACACGGCAGCAGCTGCAGCGGTACTACTACTGGCCCGAAATGCTGACCGACGTGCAGCGTCACGTGGCATCGTGTCCCACCTGCCAACTCATGAAATCATCACGGAAGCGGCTAGCAGGACAGTTGCAGCCGATACCACCCCCAGAGCGTGCTTGGCAGCAGGTGACGATGGACTTCGTCACAAGGTTACCGACCGGAACAAGTGGGAACGAAGCGATCCTGGTCGTCGTCGATCGGATGACGAAAATGGCACATTTAATTCTTCGTACCACCCCGAAACCGACAGACAGACAGAACGGACAAATCAGACCATGGAGCAACTCATCCGAGCCACGTGCGACGATCCGACCACCTGGGAACAGCAACTACCACTCATAAAATTCGCGTACAACAACTCACCATCCGCCACGACCCAACAGTCACCGTTTTACCTGAACTACGGACAAGACCCTACAGTACCATGACCCCGAATCCCGATAACCCAGTACCACGCGCGCAACAGTTCACAGAAATCTTACAATCAACACGGACCCGGGCAGCCGACGCAATTAAAAAGGCCAACATAATCGCTAAACGCAACACCAACCGCCACCACGGACCTGTCACTTACCAGCCCGACGACCTAGTTTTACTCGACACCCAAAACCTCCGCCTGCCCATAACCCCGAAACTCCGCCCCCGATATTTGTCACCAATATATAATGGTAAGAACAATAGATTTTGCTGCATGCTAGGAAGGGTGTAGATGGGTGTACGGTTGGGTTATGTGACTCTAGCATGGGGGATTGCTTGGGCTAGGGGAATGACGTGAAGTTGGTGGCCTGGGGATTTGGGAACATTGGGAAGAGGACCAAAGCGCCTCGAGGGACAGGAAATCTGCATTGACCAATAAGGGCCACAGGCGACCCGAACCCAACTCAAGGTGGTGGCAACTGCCTAAACTCAGAGTGGGAATAAAGTAGCCTAGCCTAGCCAACTGAACCTGTTCTCTCGCTTTGTTTGCTCACTATAGTGGATTTACTTCACCACTCTAAGGCTACGGTAGCTAGGTGATACGCCACTAAGGGCAGCCAGCTTGTGGGAGCAGGAATCTCTCACAAAGCGAGAGAAGAGCTTACCAGCGACATGGATCGCCACAATCTGCGCGTGCAGCGTACGTACTCACGGCGGGAACGATCTCCGTCGCGGATGAGGCGCTCGAGGGAGCGTGGGAGATTGCCGATGCGCTCGCCACGACAGGCTGCATATCGGGCGGATCCGGTGACGCCGACGGGCGTGCGAAGAGAAGAAAGCGGGGAAGATCTACGCATCAGGTCAGAATTGTGGAGGCGGCCCATGATCAGCGACCCGTGGAACCTGGCAGGAGGCCAGTGCGGGATGGATGGACGGCGTCACGAAGGCGACGTGGATGTGCACACTACGAGCGAGCAGGGTGATGAGGAGGAAGGGGAAGAGCCCCAGCCTGCTCGAGGCAGCAGAAGGCGCGGCATCGCCGGCGACGACGGTTCCCCCACTGCGCGGGGCGGCAGAAGGTGCGACATCACCGGCGACGACAGTTCCCCACTACGCGGGGCGGCGGAAGGCACGACATCGCCAACGACGATGGTTTCCCCACTGTGCGGGGCGGCGGAAGGCGTGTAATCGCTGACGACGAAGGCTCCCCCACTGCGAGGGGCGGCGGAAGGCGCGACATCGCTGACGGCGACTGTTCCCCCACTGCGCGGGGCGGCGGAAGGCATGACATCGCCGACGACGAAGGCTCCCCCACTGTGAGGGGCGGCGGAAGGCGCGACATCGCTGACGGCGACTGTTCCCCCACTGCGCGGGGCGGCGGAAGGCGCGACATCGCCGACGACGACAGTTCCCCCACTGCGCGGGGCGGTGGAAGGCGCGACATCGCCGACGATGACGGTTCCCCCACTGCGCGGGGCGGCGGAAATCACGACATCGCCGACAACGACGGTTCCCCCACTGCGCGGGGCGGCAGAAGGTGTGACAGCGCCGTCAATGGGGTGAATTTCCCTATTACGCGGGAAGAAGGAAGGCAAGGGTGCAAGAAAATGGATGAAAGGGAGCGAGTCCGATGTGGGAAGGCGCGGAAGGATGGCGAAGAAGACAGGAATGGAGAGCGCTCACCTGCCGGGCAGCGCGAAGAGATGACACAAAGGAGCGTCAGGGGAGTGGAGCGCCAAACAGGGGCACGCCAAGGAGAGGAAGAAGGAAAGAGGGCGTCAGCAGGTGTCTTCCGCTCACCTGAGCCGAGGCCAGGATATGACCGCAGACGGCGCATGGCAATGGGCGGAGGACGGCAAGCAGATTGGGAAAAGCGAGAAGACGAGCAGGACTACGAGGAGCGACGCCAGTGAAGCCCGCCTGGGTGGGAGCGGGGGCGCCACGGAGAAGGATGAGAAAGGGGCCAGGGAAGGCAATCACCGCACGGCTCCAGAGCAGAAGGAGGAGGTCAGCAGCGAAGGGAGCAAGAGCGGCATCGCCAAGAACGTTCTCCTGTGCAGAGAGATAGACGATGGGAAGATCAAGAAAGGTACAGGAGAGACTGCGAAGACAACCAGAGGCGAAGCCCGAGTCCAATTGGAACTAGGAGGCTGCGGCAACATGGAGAGGGATCGAGCGAGGCTAGAGCGGCTCGTGAGGGGTTGGAACGAGCACTGTACGGGATCAGCGCAGGAAGCAGAGGAGAAAAAGGAAAGCAGCGGGGGGCTGCTCTGTCAGATCGGGGAGGATCTGGGAGCTGGGATATGGGGAGGTGGGGCGCGACGGCAGCGCCACGGGTGGAGGTGCTGGTACGCTTCACAGGGAATGAGAGCACAGGCCCAAGCCTCAAGAATTACTTGATGCAGATAAGTAACGTTAAGTACCGGTGTGATCGGAGCGGGATGGATCCCATAGACTTCTTCCTAAGCCTGCCAAACACGCTGGGGGGGGAAGCAGAAACCTTGTATCGCATGAAGATGGGGAAGTGGCTGAGAAGAGCAGATGAGGAAGAGGAGGACCCGACGGTGCTGTTCCTGGAGCGGCTGAGGAAGCAATTCCCTGGGCATACAGCAGCACGCATCAAAGAATTTCAGGAGTTCAAGAGGAGGGACGAGGAATCCCTACTGACGTATTATGGGCGGTTGATGAATCTAGCGGAAGACGTGGTGTGCACGGACAGCAGTATGATCATTAGTAAGTTTCTGAATGGGTTGGACAAGGGACTGGCAGGAGGACTGAGAATGAGAGTCTATGAGCTAGGAGCGGACGCAACACCTAAGGAGGTGTTTGAGCTAGCAGAGAGAGTGGAGCTGGCGTAGAGAAAGTATGAGGTGTATCTGCCGAGGCCGACAGAGAGGAAGAATCCCGCATGGGCTTCAGCAATGATACATGAGACATGAGGGAGAGAAGAGAGCCGACAGGAGTGAGGAGCTGAGACACGCACCTGCCACCAATGCAAGCAACCAGGGCATTTGATGAGAAATTGTAGGAATTGCGACACCTGTGGGAAGCCAGGGCACAGACAAAAGGATTGTCCAGATGCACCGACCTGTGAGGTATGTGGGAAGCGGGGGCATAAGGGGAAAGACTGCTACCAACAGACGGGAGGGCCAAGGAGGACGCCAGAGGAGATAGAAGGGCAGATCGGGAGATTGCAGGCACAGCTGCAGGCACTGGGGGGGGAGAAGGAGAAGGAGGCAGGGTTATATGCAAGGGAAGAGGATGACGAAGCAGAGGTGATAGAGGAGCCGGAGCCTGAGTACAACTTCATGGTGCTACGCAGCCGAGAGGAGTTGGGCCTGCGTAGCGGGGGCAGTGATGGGAGAAAGGAACACATGGTTAAGGAGAGGAGCAAGCCAAAGTGAGCACCAGAGGAGAAGGGTGAAGGGGAAGAGGAGCCGGCTAGGCATCCCAAGGAGCGGCTAGCCAGTCAAGCGACGGTGCTGGTAGCAGGAGCGGGGACAGTGGCAGTGGGAGGAGAAGTGGCAAGAACCGCGATCTTAGATACTGGGGCATAGAGTGTGATGCTGGGGAGGCGCCTGGCAGAGAAGCTGGGGTTGACCGGGCCAAGGCAGCACATAAAACGAGGAATGTTAGTCATGATAGCAGAGGGAGGTGAGCCCAAGTGGCTGCCGTGCACCAAGACACCAGTGGAGATAGTCTTGATGCCGAGGAGGGAGGAACAGACCAGTATAAGGCTGCAATGTGGAATCTCAGACTCAGAAGATTTTGATGTACTGCTAGGCACGGACTTGATCTGGGGAGTGGGGATGACAATCTGCACGTGGAAGGAGAAGGTAAAGTTCCGGAAGCAGTATTTGGAGCGGGGGAGCAAGACGGGAGAACTACCGGTATCCTTCACAAAGTAGGAGCCTAGGAGGGCATATACGGCTGAGCAGACAGGGACAAGGGGGAGAGAGAGAGAGAGCAGGACTCGTGGGCAAGGCAGCAGCGGCCAATGCGTGGCAGGAACCGATAAAGCTGGTAGAGCTATTCGGGGGAATAGGAGCAGGGCTAGCAGCGGTACTTAGGGCAGCAATGGCCGTGAGGGAATGATATATGTGGAAAATAATGAACAGGTGAGGAAGATGGCAGAGCATCATGCGAGGAAGCTGCAACAAGAGTATCCAGAGCTACTGGATGAGGCAGTGATAGTGAAAGCAATGCAAAGGACATTGATTGACGTAAGAAGCATCACACGAGAGGTAGTGAGGAGCTGGGGGCATGTGGACCTGCTGGTGGCAGGATGGGAGTGCCAAGCCATGTCGAGGGCAGGGAAAGTCAAAGGATTGGGAGATCCAAGAGGGGCGCTGCTGGTGAATCTGCTGTGCATCATAGACTGGATCAAGGAAGGGCAAGAGAAGGTGGTGTACCTGCTGGAGCACCTAGACCTGGAAGGGGACCGCAGGGAGCCTGTCAGGAAAGTTCGGGAGTTAGTGACAAGGAAGCTAGGGAAGGGAGTGAGATGTGACGCGGCCAGGCTGGGGGCACGAGCTCATCGTGTCAGACGATACTGGCAGAACGTCGTGTCAGATGAGCAATTGCAGCAGGAGCTGGATGGGATACGCAGGGACTGGAGCAAGACCGTGCGAGAGATTTTAGAGCCCGGCAGGATGGCGGCGCCAGTTAGGAAGGGCAGGCATGAGACACAATGCCCGTGCAACAAAGTGGGGGCAGAGCGCAGGGCATGGCCGACATTAGTGGAGTACGAAGGAGCAGCTGGGTTCAGAGAGGAAGACGGGCTGCCAGGAGAAGGCATGGTGTACGACAGCAGGACAAAGAAATGGGAGGAGCCGACTGCGCTGGAAAGGGAATTGGCAATGGGGTACGGAGAGGAGGTAACAAAGGCACCAGGGGTGACGGAAAAGGAAAGGAGGAGAGCATTAGGACAGACCATGGATGGACAAGTCATGTAGTGATTACTGCGGCGGATGTGGAGAGGGCTGGTGCTGGAAGCGGAAAAGGGACAAGGGTGTGAGGGGACAAGGGTGAAAAAGGTGGGGGCATGGGCATGCATGGCAGCCAAGGAAGAGCCGGTGTGGGTCGTGGGGAATGCAATGAGTGAGAGAGGAAAGGAGGCAATGCAAGAGGTGATGGCAAGGTACAGGCACGCATTCGTGTTCACCTTATGGGAGTTGGGGAAGTGTTCTGTGAAGGAGATGGAGTTGAAGCTGGTGACGGATGAGCCGGTGTTCCAGAGGAAGCGGAGGATGACACTTGGGGACGAGGATATTTGTAAGGAAAAGTGCAGGGAGCTAATGGAAGCGGGGCCGATACAGAGATCGGAGTCAGAGTATGCGACACCGACGGTGGTAGCTGCCCGAAAGGACCTGCTAGGGGAGGTGCTAAGCAGACGCATGTGCGGGAACTATAGAGCATTGAATAAGGTGACAGTGCCCGACAGGTACCCAATGTCCACAACCGAAGACATCTTTGACTGACTGGGGGCAGGGGAGATCTTTAGCACACTGTACTTAAGACAGGGGTTTAACCAAATTAGGATAATGAAAGAGGACGTGCGGAAGACGGCGTTCCATGGTGCAGATGGCTTGTACGAATGGCTATTCATGCCATTTGGGCTGAGAAATGCGTCAGCCATCTTTCAGAGAGTGATGGATAGCGTGCTGAGGGGACTGGAGTGTGCAGCGTGTTACATAGACGACGTAGTGAATTTCAGCAGGACTGAAGAGGAGCACGTGAGAGACGTGGAGCAGACACTGAAGGCGTTGGCAGCAGCTGGGCTGACATGTCATCCGAAGAAATGCAGGTGGGGAGAGGCAACCATGCAGTACCTGGGGTATGAGGTCGGGGGCGGGCAGCTAGGGATCCAGCAGGCAAAGATTGAGGTGCTGAACAGGCTGCAGCAGCCGAAGGACAGGAGCAGACTAAGAGCGGTACAGGGATTCCTGAGCTATTACCGCAGGTTCGTCCCGAATTTCAGCAAGCGGGCGTCACCATTGAACGGGCTGCTGAAGGAGGACAGGAAGTGGGAGTGGGGGACGGAGCAGGAAGCAGCATTGAAGGATCTGATGGAGGCGGTGCAGACGGCGACAATTCTGCAGCTGCCCAAGGCAGACAAGCCCTTCTGCATGTACACCGACTAGAGCAGCCAAGGTATGGGTGCAATCCTGTGTCAGGAATTGGACGGGGAGGAGAGGGTTGTGGCGTACGCAAGCAGGAGCTGCAGCCCAGCGGAAGCCAAGTACAGCTCTTACCATGGGGAGGGGTTGGCAGCTGTGTGGGCTGTAAAACACTTTAGGGTATACCTACAGGGGAGGGAGTTTACACTGATTACAGACCATCAGCCCCTGCAATGGCTGATGACACACCAAGGGCTGACGGGGAGGAACGCACGTTGGGCCGTGACGCTGCAGGAATACGACTTCAAGATACGCCACAGGCCGGGGAAGACTCTGCGGCACGTGGACGGGCTCTCAAGGAACCCGCCGGCAGCAGAGCCAGTGCACGCGCTGATGTTGCTGGCTAGGCAAGGGGAAGAGGCAGCAGCAGGGAAGCAAAAGGGGCCAAAAGACATTTGGGAAGATCCAGCGGCGTTGCGATGGATTAAGGGAGAAACCGACGAGGATGAGCAGGTCTCTGACAGGGTGAGGGCAAGAGGGCACCATCACAGGTGGTATAAGGGACAACTGCAGCTACAGTCAGTGGATGGGTGGAAGCTGGTACCTGCACCACAGGAAAGGGAGGGAGTGATTAAGGAGGTGCACTGGAAGCTGGGGCACTTTGGGCATGAGCACACGTCGGAATTGTTGAAGACAGGCTGGTGGTGGGAAGGAATGAGAAGGGTGGTCAGAGAATGGGTCGGTAGATGCGAAGGGTGTCAGAGGAGCAAGGCCAGCTTGACACAGGCGAAGCAGGAGCTGCAGTCACTGCCGATAAGGGGGGCTAGGGTTCAGGTGGTCTCTAGACATAGCTGGTGAGCTATCGCTGAGCAGGGGAGGCAAGCGGTACATACTGCTCATGGTGGAACACGCAAGCAAGTGGCTAGAGGTGTGTGCATTATCGAGCAAGGATTCCAGGCACGTGGCAAAGGCATTCAAGGGACAGGTCCTGTGCAGGTTTGGGGCACCAGGGGAAGTGCTCACTGATCAGGGGACAGAATTCAGAGGGGAATTTCAGACTCTGTTGGACGAGCCAAGGGTGACACACAGGCTGACATCGAGATATCACCCGCAGAGCGACGGGTTGACTGGGCGCCTCGTACAGACGTTGAAGCGGAATTTGAGGGCGTATGGAGAGAAGCGCAAGAGAGACTAGGATGAAGATTTGGACTGGATTGCAGCAGGGTACAGGTTCGGGAAGCAGGCCTCCCTGAAGGACTACTCCCCTTATAGCATGCTGTTCGGGAAGGAGCCAATCCTGCCAGTGGGAGCACCGAGGGTACTAACAGATGTAGTGCAAGTCAGGGGAGCGGAGGAATGGGTGGCGCTAGCAGAGGCACGAGCACGGTACATGCGGGAGATGCTCCCTGCAGCTCTGGAAAACCTGCACACCGGCACAGCTGAGGGATGCACACAGGTATGAGCAGCGGCAGCAGCAGGGGGGCAGGAAGGCCAAACCAGCAGTGACGGAAGGACAAGAGGGTGTACCTGCGCAGGGCGAAAAGGGACACGCTGGATGTGGGCAAGCAGGGGAGAACATGAAGAAGAAGGGTAAGAGGATCAAGAGAGGAACCAGCCCAAGGCCAAGGTGAGGAAGAGGTGATCTCCGACATATTGCGGGCCATTTCGCATCAGTCACATGATCATGCTCGTCACCCGCCCACCTCCTCCTCCCTGGTGACTGGTATGTCAGCCCGTCCTTCCACGTCAGCCTGCTTCGCCCTTAGATACCATCCACCAGCCAACTGCCCCGCAACCGCCCAGCCAGCATGACACGACCGCCGACATAACCAATCATCACCCCCGAAAAGATTCTGAGTCACCGAGTTCGTGACCCACGGGGAGCTCGAAGGATCGAATTTCTGATCCGCTGGAAAGACCGTACGCCTACCGAAGACAACTGGGTTCCCTGGACAGAATTGGAAACCAACCCCGTCCTCACTGAGTATCTGCGCAGCCCAAAATTTCCGGGATGTACACGCGCTTTCGTAGGAGGGCCTCCTTAAGGGTGGGGCTAGTGAAAGGAAAATTCATTTTCCTTACTTCGCGTCCCTGCTCAGCGCGTACACCACTGTTTCCCGCCAACAGTACCCAACAATAATCTGTTACCACTCGCGACACTCGCCTCGACACTATCCCCGCCACTGTTCACGACGCGACCCAACCTCACGGTTCGGTTGGTAACCTGTACTCTGGACCTCCGCCTCGACAATTCCCAACCTCGGCACTAGGCCCGTCGCGCAAACCCATTTTCCACACATTACTGTTACCACTGTAGTTTCGCTATATATTCTTAGCTCATTCCTTCGCTCATTGTACTCTTGCTTCGATAGTGCAATCCTCGCTCGCTCACTCAATTGCACTCGTAACAATCACCCGCCTTACACTGCAAAAATAGCATAGCATAAGCTGCTTTAGAAAATCACTCTGTTTCCACAACAGAAGTGATTGTAAGGAGCACACTGAACTTCGGATTAGGATACTTTGAGCCACGTGGTGTTCATTGGCAGGCGGTGCTCCCTTTCTGTGCTTGTATGGGCCAAACCCAAAGCAGCCTCGCGCGGCGCTTCCTCGATCCAACATCGACGTCACACACACATCTGACATCTCAAGAAACCGCGAATTCTTCCACCCCCTCTGACAATCACCTTTCACCACCACCATTGACGGGTGTACTGTACTGTGGCAGTAGGACCAGACCAGGGGCTAGTTGGCACTTGGTCCCAGAATTCATAATTTCTCAGATTCACTCACATACTCGAAGCTTCTGCCGTCATTCACAGATTCACGAGCACAGCCACAGCCAGCCAGTACATTGGCAAGTAGCAGCCTGTGAATCTACGACACCATCCTTCGCCAATCACCCTTTTTTTTGCAGCGGTCTTTCTCGCGAAGCCTCATGGCGTTTACCATTGCCACGCAGCCTACTACCCCTTACGAGGGACAGAAGCCTGGGACCTCGGGCCTGAGGAAGAAGGTAGCGTTCTTGCCTTGCTCGCGCAAATCAAGCTTAATTTCCCTACCGTCTGTCATCTTATTAGCAGAATCCGCTCCAATTCGTCCGTGTTACCAGGTCACGGTCTTCCAACAGCCAAATTACTTGGCGAATTTCGTCCAGGCAACCTTCAATTCACTTCCCGCTGACAAGATCCAGGGTAAGCATGCGAATTTAGATCCTCCTCCCAGACTTCGATCCTTTTCCGTGAATACGCTTTTCCGTAAGAACTCTGAGAACTCATCGTAGCCTTCATCTTCAAACGTCTCAAGTGTCAGACACCTAGTCTCTCTCAATCCCGTTCCGTAGCCTGGCATGCTTCAGGCTTATTTGTTGATTTCAACTACCGGTCACGAAATCTTGCCTGAATGTCACCATCCCGGTTCTGACATGGTCCGGTCTGTTTCTTCTCCTGTTCAGGCTGCACTCTCGTGGTTTCCGGTGACGGTCGGTACTATTCCAAGGACGCGGTTCAGGTAACGCCGGGGTCCGTTCTTTCGGATGAGCAAATTCATTCTCGTAGCTTTCGTGTCCGTGAAATCTGACTGGTTAGCTTGTGTATTGTAGTTTTCTGGACTCCAGACGACTTGAATCCATGACGACGCCTTGAATGCATGACAGATTATCGCCAAGCTCGCAGCCGGTAATGGAGTTCGCCGGATCTGGGTGGGTCAGGACAGCCTCCTCTCCACGCCCGCTGTGTCTGGAATCATCCGCGATCGCGTCGGCATCCAGGTAAAGATATAACACTCTTTGTCCACTAACAATTCAAGTAATATCTTAGGTCGTACCCATCGCGTCACGTTTCCAAGAACTCTTGCAAGCCTAGGTTTTGGTCAAGAAATCTGTACCGACCTTCAGACGTTCCGCTCTGAATCGTCTCAAACAGTGACAGGCTATGCCTGACAGTACTACCTCTTGTCATCTGGTTGCCTGAAACAGGGGGACAAAGGCGTACGGAGCGTTCATTCTCACAGCGAGCCACAACCCCGGTGGGCCGCATGAGGACTTTGGCATCAAGTACAACTGCGAGAACGGAGGGCCGGCTCCTGAAGGCTTGACCAACCAGATCTACCAGCACACCACTACATCTCCGAGCTCAAGATCGCAGAAGGCCTGCCCGAGGTACGTTAGTGAGGGCCCGATACAGACCTCCTGAGACTGAGGACTTCGGCATCTAGTACAACTGCAAGAACGGAGGGGCCAGCTCCCGAAAGGCCTGACCAACCAGATCTACCAGCACACCACTACCATCTCCGAGCTCAAGATCGCTGAAGGCCTACCTGAGGTATGATAGGGAGGCTTTCTTGATGACCCCCTTCTTAAGACTTGGGCCTAAAGTATAGGAGAAAGAGCGTAGTCCAGGTGGAGCTCCCGAAGGCCTGACCAACCAGATCTACCAGCACACCACAGCTATCTCCGAGCTCAAGATCGCTGAAGGTCTGCCCGAGGTATCATGGAATTTGTTTATCTCTGGAAACTCAAACGTGAAATACAAAGCATGCTGGCTTCCATCCTGGTGCTCCTTCCTATTGCTTCCTTGCTTCCCGTGGTAGGTGGCATCAGACACTATAAGGCTGCAATCGTTTGACAGCCCGAATGACAAGTTTGAGGTTGGAGATGTTCAGCTCACTGTGCTCTGTACCTTATGCGTTGCCTCCTCATTCCTCTTGCCTCCCCTGTGGCCATTGCAGGTGGACATCAGCACCATCGGGCTGCAGTCATTTGATGGCCCGAATGGCAAAGTTCGAGGTGGAGGTGTTCGACTCCGCTGAGGACTACATCAAGCTCATGAGTCAGTCACACATCACTCCCCTTCAGTTGAAACATTCCTTTTTTTTCTTTCCAAAAAATGAACCAGAAAACTATGCTGAGGACTACATCAGCTCATGAAGCCAGTCCTCTGTCCTTGTCTTTCCCTCCGCTCTCCCCTTAGTTGTCACTAGCTTGCGTCCCTTCCATGATCATCTGTCCTGCTATTTCTCCCTTGGTGCAAAAGTGTGTTCACATCCGTTCCCAATGCACTGCCTTCCTCCTCTCTTAACGTCATGCCATTCGCTTCACACTTTCGTTGCTGCTACTGCCGTTGCTACTGCTGTTGCTACTGCTGTTGCCGCAGGACCATCTTCGACTTCGATGCCATTCGGGCGCTCCTCAAGAATCCCAAGTTCTACGTTCCTGTACGTCTCTACGCCATGGCAAGCCAGGTCCTAGTCCTGAGGTGTCCTCTGCCTTTTTAAGCAGCAATCATACAGTGAGGGCGTCTGTTAGCATCAAAAGTAGACAAGAAGTCAATATCATTCTCAATGCTTCAATTCAATGTCACTTCATGGGGCGAGAAGTCCATGTCATTCTCTTCCCCTGATATCTTAACTCGTTCTACTTGTCGTTGCGTGCTTCTCACAGGTTGGATGGGCTGCACGGTGTGGCGGAGCATACGCAGAGAAGCTGTTTGTGGCGTCGAGCTGGAGTGTCAGCCCTCGTCCCTTGTCAACTGCGTGCCAAAAGGTAACGTCCTGCCTCTTGTCTCTTGCTACTGCCCTACACTCTCGCCATCCCCTGTATCCTCCCTCTCTCACTGCTGCTGCGTGCGGGATGGGAAATGAGGCTGTTGTGTGTGCGTGAGCTGGGAGTGCCAGCCTCGTTTCTCGTCAACTGCGTGCCAAAGGTGTGTCCTGCCTCTTGCTAAATACCGCAACACATCCTACATTCTGCTCTGCTCTACGTGAACTTCTTTTTGAAAATCTCCGCCTCCACTTCACACTCTCCACCTCCGCTCCACTCTCCCTCCCCCTCCGCTCCACTCTCCCTCCCCCTCCGCTCCACTCTCCCTCCCCCTCCGCTCCTCTCTCCCTCCCCCTCCGCTCCACTCTCCCTCCCCCTCCGCTCCACTCTCCCTCCCCCTCCGCTCCACTCTCCCTCCCCTCCACTCCACTCTCCCTCCCCCTCCGCTCCACTCTCCCTCCCCCTCCGCTCCACTCTCCCTCCCTCTCCGCTCCACTCTCCCTACCCCTCCGCTCCACTCTCCCTCCCCCTCCGCTCCACTCTCCCTCCCCCTCCGCTCCACTCTCCTCCCCCTCCGCTCCGCTCCACACTCCCTCCCCCTCCGCTCCACTCTCCCTCCCCCTCCGCTCCACTCTCCCTCCCCCTCCGCTCCACTCTCCCTCCCCCTCCGCTCCACTCTCCCTCCCCCTCCGCTCTACTCTCTCCCTCCCCCTCCGCTCCACTCTCCCTCCCCCTCCGCTCCACTCTCTCTCTCCCCCTCCGCTCCACTCTCCCTCCCCCTCCACTCCACTCTCCCTCACCCTCCGCTCCACTCTCCCTCCCCCTCCGCTCCACTCTCCCTCCCTCTCCGCTCCACTCTCCCTACCCCTCCGCTCCACTCTCCCTCCCCCTCCGCTCCACTCTCCCTCCCCCTCCGCTCCACTCTCCCTCCCCCTCCGCTCCACTCTCCCTCCCCCTCCGCTCCACTCTCCCTCCCCCTCCGCTCCACTCTCCCTCCCCCTCCGCTCCAATCTCCCTCCCCCTCCGCTCCACTCTCCCTCCCCCTCCGCTCCACTCTCCCTCCCTCTCCGCTCCACTCTCCCTCCCCCTCCGCTCCACTCTCCCTCCCCCTCCGCTCCACTCTCCCTCCCCCTCCGCTCCACTCTCCCTCCCTCTCCGCTCCACTCTCCCTACCCCTCCGCTCCACTCTCCCTCCCCCTCCGCTCCACTCTCCCTCCCCCTCCGCTCCACTCTCCCTCCCCCTCCGCTCCACTCTCCCTCCCCCTCCGCTCCACTCTCCCTCCCCCCCGCTCCACTCTCCCTCCCCCTCCGCTCCACTCTCCCTCCCCCTCCGCTCCACTCTCCCTCCCCCTCCGCTCCACTCTCCCTCCCCCTCCGCTCCACTCTCCCTCCCTCTCCGCTCCACTCTCCCTCCCCCTCCGCTCCACTCTCCCTCCCCCTCCGCTCCCCTCTCCCTCCCCCTCCGCTCCACTCTCCCTCCCCCTCCGCTCCACTCTCCCTCCCCCTCCGCTCCACTCTCCCCCCCCTCCGCTCCACTCTCCCTCCCCCTCCGCTCCACTCTCCCTCCCCCTCCGCTCCACTCTCCCTCCCCCTCCGCTCCACTCTCCCTCCCCCTCCGCTCCACTCTCCCTCCCCCTCCGCTCCACTCTCCCTCCCTCTCCGCTCCACTCTCCCTACCCCTCCGCTCCACTCTCCCTCCCCCTCCGCTCCACTTTCCCTCCCCCTCCGCTCCACTCTCCCTCCCCCTCCGCTCCACTCTCCCTCCCCCTCCGCTCCACTCTCCCTCCCCCTCCGCTCCACTCTCCCTCCCCCTCCGCTCCACTCTCCCTCCCCCTCCGCTCCACTCTCCCTCCCTCTCCGCTCCACTCTCCCTACCCCTCCGCTCCACTCTCCCTCCCCCTCCGCTCCACTCTCCCCCCCCTCCGCTCCACTCTCCCTCCCCCTCCGCTCCACTCTCCCGACCCCTCCGCTCCACTCTCCCTCCCCCTCCGCTCCACTCTCCCTCCCTCTCCGCTCCACTCTCCCTACCCCTCCGCTCCACTCTCCCTCCCCCTCCGCTCCACTCTCCCTCCCCCCCGCTCCACTCTCCCTCCCCCTCCGCTCCACTCTCCCTCCCCCTCCGCTCCACTCTCCCTCCCCCTCCGCTCCACTCTCCCTCCCCCTCCGCTCCACTCTCCCTCCCCCTCCGCTCCACTCTCCCTCCCTCTCCGCTCCACTCTCCCTACCCCTCCGCTCCACTCTCCCTCCCCCTCCGCTCCACTCTCCCTCCCCCCCTCCGCTCCACTCTCCCTCCCCCTCCGCTCCACTCTCCCTCCCCCTCCGCTCCACTCTCCCTCCCCCTCCGCTCCACTCTCCCTCCCCCTCCGCTCCACTCTCCCTCCCCCTCCGCTCCACTCTCCCTCCCTCTCTGCTCCACTCTCCCTACCCCTCCGCTCCACTCTCCCTCCCCCTCCGCTCCACTCTCCCTCCCCCTCCGCTCCACTCTCCCTCCCCCTCCGCTCCACTCTCCCTCCCCCTCCGCTCCACTCTCCCTCCCCCTCCGCTCCACTCTCCCTCCCCCTCCGCTCCACTCTCCCTCCCCCTCCGCTCCACTCTCCCTCCCCCTCCGCTCCACTCTCCCTCCCCCTCCGCTCCACTCTCCCTCCCCCTCCGCTCCACTCTCCCTCCCTCTCCGCTCCACTCTCCCTACCCCTCCGCTCCACTCTCCCTCCCCCTCCCTCCGCTCCACTCTCCCTCCCCCTCCGCTCCACTCTCCCTCCCCCCCTCCGCTCCACTCTCCCTCCCCCTCCGCTCCACTCTCCCTCCCCCTCCGCTCCACTCTCCCTCCCCCTCCGCTCCACTCTCTCCTCCCCCTCCGCTCCACTCTCCCTCCCCCTCCGCTCCACTCTCCCTACCCCCTCCGCTCCACTCTCCCTACCCCTCCGCTCCACTCTCCCTCCCCCCTCCGCCCCACTCTCCCTCCCCCTCCGCTCCACTCTCCCTCCCCCTCCGCTCCACTCTCCCTCCCCCTCCGCTCCACTCTCCCTCCCCCTCCGCTCCACTCTCCCTCCCCCTCCGCTCCACTCTCCCTCCCCCTCCGCTCCACTCTCCCTCCCCCTCCGCTCCACTCTCCCTCCCCCTCCGCTCCACTCTCCCTCCCCTCCGCTCCACTCTCCCTCCCCCTCCGCTCCACTCTCCCTCCCCCTCCGCTCCACTCTCCCTCCCCCTCCGCTCCACTCTCCCTACCCCTC